TCCACCCTAGGATTGAAGAGTCCCGGGTACGATTCCAGTCAAAGGCACATACCTTGGTTGCAGGCTCAGTCCCTGGCCTTGGTCAGGGCCTGTGCGGGAGGCAACCAATTGATATGTGTCTCTCCATCCCTTTCATTCTCTCTAAAAATCAATGGAAAAATAGCCTCAGGTGAGGATTAACAACAACAACAAAATGTCCCTGTTGTTCATCACTTATAGAGTTGCTGGTATTTGCAGTCCAAATTCCCTGCTGATGATCATCCTACATAGAATCCTTTGTTCCCATCTCAGTTTATTTCCTTAAGGCTATGTTTGTAGAAGTGGGACTACGGGCACTCGCTGTCTTTTGAAGATGGTACCAACCCAGCAGGAAGGGGCAAAGACCAAGCCCACGCCCAAAGTGTCATCAGACAGTGTGTGCGGATGAAGGCAGAGCATCTGGGCCTGGTCCACGGACTGTCAGCTTCCCAGGACAGAGCCAATCTGAACACTCTTGGGTCACATTCACTGTTATTCATGCTGGTATATCCATGCATCAAACCTTGCATATGTTGCTGTATCTCATACTCTAACAAGAACTTAGTGAGTTTCTGAATTTAGGAAAAATGGGCCTAAGTGTAATTTACAAAGCTATGATGACAGTGACTATAATGGTCATACCTGGCCAAAAAAAAAAAAAAATAGGGTATGTAGTAAGCAAAGATTGAGCACCAACTATTTTTCTTACTGTGAGGAAACTGAGCCTTACCCAGATCAGCCAGCTTGTCAAATGCCAACCTTGGAGCCAGGACTCAAGTGCATACTGACCTAACTCCACAACTCATGCCTGTAAGAGATTCTACTAATTACCACTTAAATCATTAAAGGTTTGGGGGCAGGGAAAGTAATATGATTAGATTTATATTTTATGAAGGTAATTAAAACAAAACAGAGCAGTTATCTCTCCATTCAGCCTGAGAAGGCACTGTGTCTGTCTCCCTCAGATTTCAGCACTGCCCAGCAGCTTCTTGATGATGTCACCTGAGCAATGTATGGCCTCTAAGCCTTAGTAAAGGACACAGGTCAAAGTGCATATTCAACATGGGCTGAATGAGGGCTGCGGAATTTTTGTCAGACTGGATGGCGTTGCACTTAGCACAAAGGGTGCCTTTGCTGCCAGAGCCGAAAACTCGTCACTTTGTCCTGAGCAGTTTCATGCGAGCGCATCCTTGATAAAAAGCAGCCAATGAACCCAGGGTTCATCACTCTGAGCTGGGAAGCAGACGCCAGTGGCTGCTTACCTTTAGCTGTCAGATCCGAGTGCCACCAGCTGCAGAGGTTAAACTCCACCAGGAACCTAAAAGGGACAGAGAAGCACAATGTTACTTTGCCATCCACACCCTGAATGGAGAGTGACATGTGTTTCCCAGCACTGCTCACCTGCTTGGAAAGAAGGCATCGCAATCTGGAGATAGCGACATGGCTGGTTCAGTGACCGCCCCACTTTCACCGGCTTTACCTCGTATGTGAAAGGCTATTTTATCACCAATGCTAACCAGACCCTGGGATCAGGTTTTCCTAGCCTCGAGGACTCTGCTGAGAAATATTCTGCTTTCTAGGCAAAATAGTTTCTGGTTGTAGTCTGAGTCCATAGTAAAAGGTCAACTTCTAAAGGGCTCCCCCTGCCCAGGTTCAGAAATACAAATAAAATATCCTATAACAGACTATGATCTGCAGCAATAAAGGAAGCTTTCAAAATTTATACTGCAATGCAAGCTTGTTCAGCTACGTGTGTTTGTGTGTTTGTGTGTGTGTGTGTATGTGGGGACAGATGGGACAAATTTCTCTTTATGAAATTAGACCACAATGCAAATTTTAAAAAATTGAAATTTCTCAAATGCCCATAAAGAATGCAAAATTAATATAAATCCTCCTCTGAAATGAATGGACACAGACCATTTCTTTTTCAGGCACATAGCTAGTCTCTCCAGCAACTTACTCTCAATAAAAATCCCACAGTTATCTGTTATGGCATTTTCTGTCTCCTATGTACATGCAGAGCTTCTCCCCACTTGAATTTATAAATTGTTAAATTCATGTAGGTTACATGAAAGCAATAGAGTAGAGAATGTCTCTGTTCACCAAATGGCAAGAAGTCTGCCTAAACCCACAGAACTGGAACCTTAATGAGGAAAATAAGAATGAGAGAGTTTGGTGCAGCTTTGCGGATCTGGCCTCCATGCCATCCATGGAATTCCTCTTCCTGTGAGATGCAGTGTTTCTGTAGTGTATCCATCATCTCATCTGGAAGTCAAGCCTTTCACCCCTGTGCCATTTCACCCTGACCTGGGTCACGGGAGCATCCTCCAAACAGGACGGCAATTTGACAGGGTCAACAATTAAATCACACCTGAGAAAAGCCCCCAGCCTGAGGCCCCTGACTGCACTGGCCCCACCCCTATCCATGGCTATCCATGGCAAGACATCCGAGTAGCACAGTGGACAGCCCTGGCAATTTGTTCTTCAGACCACAGCCCACCCAGGCTGCGTTAACAGCAGCCAGACATCTATGTTAAATTTAACAGTGACCACAATAAATAAATTGGGTTTGTGCATTGCAAGCCGTTCGTCTGCTAAACAATGATACAAGGGCATAAGCAGTGACCATGAATAACTTAATAAAAGATAATTTTTGGTCTCAGCTTTCGGTACTTCGAGGTTTTCAATGAGATTATCTCAAAGTATTATGAATCTAATGTTTATTGAAAGCATGAAGTAGAGTCTCCCAATTCACTTAATAATACACAGAAAAGCAGTCATATTCTTTTAAATGTAGCAATTGTACTTACAAGACAAGTTCTGTCATTATCCATTTCACGGCAGCAAGGAAAGCATTATAAGGCTAAAGAGAAGAATTCAGGTCATTCCAAAAAAAAACAAAAAAAGTGTATCACACATAAAATTTGTAGTTTAGCCTAAGGCTTTACATCAAGACACTACTATTCTCTGAGGGAGATTGATACTGATATCAGCTGAAGAACCAGTGGTGCTCTAGCTAAAAAAAAGAAAAGAAAATAGTATCCAAAAACTAACATTTTAAAACTTTGAACTCCCCTGTAGTGAGAGGTGATTTACAAGTAAAATAAACGTGATCTAATACAGGGGTTATCTCTGGGAGGAAGAAGGAAGTTCAGCAAAGGATGCTTAAACCTTTACTCTCTAGGGACTAATATTGCACAGCCTAATGCTGAGGCGCTGGAATCACAGGACTAATTTCAAATTTACGCGGCTGCTTCTTGGAAAGGTGATTCCCCGCTCGCCGTCACTGTATGTCATTCATGGAAACAAGAAAAAATTGCATATACTTGACTTTAATGCTGCCCATGAATTATGTAGGATTTAAGCTGCCTTTTCTCACACTTACATATTTGGACTTGAAAAAAAAAAGATAACCATATAAACATGTGATTTTATCCTTGCAGAAAATCCCCTTCACTCTATAAAAGAAGGCATTGACAGCCTAATCTTTATTTCAGAATATTTTAATTAAAAAAAGCAGTTGGGTTGTTTACTCTGTGAAATTTCCTATGTGGATAATTCAATTTCCTGGATTCTGGAAAGTACCACGTCTCCCCGTCAGTCAGTTCTTTGTACCCAGGTATGTCAGATATGTGAGTGGTGGGCAGATTTGAAAGACAGGCAAAGACACTGGCAAAGCCTGGGCTCCAGATGGCAGGTCCGGAAAAATCTCAGAATCCTTTGTGGTTGCATTTAGATATCAGCGAATTGAAATTCCAAATCCCGCTTTCCTAAGTGAGGTCTGTTTAATCCTACCTTCTGAGCATTTTGATGATAAAGACTAGAACTAGGCATGGGGTGATTATCTGGTTTTACATAAAACAAGAACCAATTTATATACCCCGAACCATTCTCGAAACTTCCCTATTTCAAACCAACCAGGAAATAAACAGAACAAGGAAAACCTACTGGGGTCGCTCCCAGCCCACTCAGATTTCAGACAGCATCTCTGGCTCTGATTTGACAGTGTCTCACCGTCATTTCCTGAATCGCAGGGCCCTCAGGATAAGGGTCAGATAAGGATAAGAACTATTAACTATTTCCTAGAACCAAATGCAACCCTGCAGTCCTGTGGTTTTGCCATTACAATACTTCGGGCTTGGAAAAATAATCATCTTTCTTTCAAAAGACCCAGGTTACCTGACCATGGGACAGTTCTGTCTTTGTACATGCTGGGATGGATAGTGACCTTTCAGTGGTCCTTGGTAGTGTGGTCCAGGAGGAGAGAAGGAAGAAAAGGATTAAGGAGGCTTTGGAGGGGGGAAGGGGCAGGCACGGGGCAGCTCACCCTGAGGCCAGGAGGAGGAACACTCAAGCATTTCCTGCCAGACACTGGTTCAATGTAGGGGAAAGGGATGGATTATGTAAATACGAGATTAAAACATTAAAATGCACATTATCATTCAGAAGGGTAAAGCCATTGAGCTTTTAAGCCTAATGATGAAAACATATCTTGGGAACTTTCTAAGTCTGGAAATAGTCATGCTAAGGTTAGGGAAGTTGAGTTTGGAAAGAAAGGTTGATTCTCACTGAAAAGCAGTGTTTTCAAAATGTCCAAATCTTAGTTCCTAGTGGCCTCTTGAAAAATTTCTAGCTTCGAATCATTTCCTGTGCCCTCAGTGTTTGAGACCCATGTTAAATATTTAGTTTTTAAATAATCCCCTGGCAAGATTGTACATCTGCAAATGAGAAGGCGTGTATTTATATTTTAAAACCAAAATGACTCTTAAATTTTGTGCTTCAAACAAAATTTTAGGTTAATTTTTGGAATTTACAAAATAATAACATACAAGGGTTATGTTTATATACATATGCTAGACTATGTTGAAGTATCTATATCTGGGTGTTGGGGTTTTTTTGTATGTGTGTTTTCAAGTTATTGGTGGCCAAACTTACTTTGCTTGCACATTATAAATTATATTTTAAAACTGGGAGTAGCCCTGGCCTGGGTGGCTCGGTTGGTTAGAGTGTCGTCCTATGCACCAAAAGGTCACAGGTTCAATTCCTGGTCAGAACATATGCCTGGGTTTAGAGTTTGATCTCTGGTGGGATTGTATATGGGAAGCAACTGATCAATGTTCCTCTCTCACATTGATGTTTCTCTCTCTCTCTCTCTCTCTCTCTCTCTCCCCCCCCCCCCCCTTCCTCTGTCTCTAAAGTCAATAAAAACATATTCTCTGGTGAGGATTTTTAAAAAAAATGAAAAAAGTAACAACTGGGAGTAAATTATAGCAGTTAATCTCTGGCAGTCAGAAAGCCATTTTCTAATGCTATAATAGCTATGGTGATTGATCCTCAACATCAGCCATGGAAACAGCACCAGGGAAGTGATAGTAAAGGTCAGTGGCAGCATGATTAGGGGTGAGGATCTATTTTCAAAATGTGAATTTGGCCCTGGCTACAGTGGCTCAGTGGTCAGAGTATCAGTCTACAGTTCCATTCCCAGTCAAGGGCACTTACCTGGGTTCGATCCCCACCCACCCCCACTCCCCACAGTTGGGGTGTCTGTGGGAGGCAACTGATCCAAGTGTCTCTCCCACATCGATGTTTTGTTTTTTTTCTCTCTCTCCCTCCCTTCTACTCTCTCTAAAAATCAATGGAAAAAATGTCTTCTGGTGAGGACTAAAAGGGACAAAAAAGTGAATTTGTTCGTAGGCTAACAGCTCTATTACAAACCAAAAGGAAGATTTCCGTTGAACCAAACCAAATTCTCTTTTATATCATAATAAGAAAATCCTCAAAACTTCTCTCCTTTCCTACCCATCAAAAGGGGGCTGCTGCAGTCACCCATCAAAGACTTTAGATGTGTTTGTCATTCGTAGAATCACTGAATTTGGCTTTAAACAGAAGTGACTTTGCTCAACCAGGAAAACCAGCAAATACTTTCAAACATTGCTGGTTTGGAAAAGATAGCTTGATTACCCCAACGGAAAAGGTCTGCTCGGAGGGAGGCAGCCGGGTGCAGCTGCTTGCTGGGTGACTGGCTGTACTTACATCCAGGAGGCCCCGGGCGGCATCGCTGCTCTCCTTGTTGGCCCTGCACATGGCCTGGTAGTCATAGAGGGTAATTCTGCAGGAGAGAATGGAAAGGAGCTTCAGGAAGTGGGAAAACACAGGAACCACGTGATGCTGTGCTCGGCAAGGCGAACTGTCACTCACACTACGTCAGGGTAGCAGTGATGAACGCCCATCAGTGCAGGCCTAGCAAGGATGACAGACCAGCAAAAGGGACCCGAGTTTTGCCACCCCACCATGTGCTTTTGGGGATATTGATTTTAAGCTGTTTCTTAAGGAACAAAAGACTCAGAAAGAACCTTTGACCCTGCTTTTTCCTGCCCAAGGGAATTCAGATGGAAAGGCCAGCTTCAGGAAGGGCATCAGCATTCTCGCCTTAGCCTGTGTGCATTGAGTAACAAAGACGGATCCGGGCAACAGCCGTTCTGCAGGGGAGAGCTCTGTCCCCTTGTTTCTGGGTTGCCTAGCAGGAATTTGTTTGCCCTGTGTCCTCCCTTTCCCCTCTTCCTGTCCATTACCCACCTCCCCTTGGAATTCACAGACCCCTGCCCACTTCTTCACTGTCGAGAATGGCACATAAACCTCAACTGTCCAATGCGTTTCAGGTCACATTCTTATAGACCCCGGATGAACACGCGTAGCATAAACTTTGGACATTTCTCCTGTAAATCTGCTTCTGTTCCTTGGATTATTAGCCCAGCTAGAAGAACTTAGCAGGTGGAGGAACGTTATATTTTTTCAGCCCTCACACCAGAAACGTGGCAACTTCCAGGACTGGAGACATAGGCATGTTGCTCTTGTATAACCACAGAACCAGCTCAAGATGCTCCTTTTCTGAGATGCTGAGTTGCTTTTCAGAGACAACAGACACATCGTGCAGCCGAAGCAAGCACAGAGGAGAGAACGTTGGCCTCCAGCTGCACTGGAACCAAAGCCGCACCCCCTCTACCCCCAGCCCCCATCTCCCAAGAAACCAAAGGGCCAGGACAGAACCGCAACTTGCACACCGGAACTCTTTCAGAAGCAGAGGGTCCATTGTCTAGGAACGTCCCCTACTGATGCCCCTCACTAGAAGTGGCCAAGCTCCAAGGTCCTCCAATTGAAACTTGCCCTCATACCCTTAAAAACCCACTTGAACCCTGGAGTTTGTGCTTCTGTTTTCTTGGGTGGTACCATTCATAATAAACCCGCCCCTCTTTCTCCACTGCAATTCGCAGTGTTTAGTGTTTGCCCCTCCTAGTTCTGGGTGGACAAACTCATTTTGGTCTGTGACACTTGGAAATTGAAGAACACAGGGAATAAAGCTATTGGGGTGGTGAGGGGATAGGAGAACCCCCCACACTGATGGGATAGTCATTCTGGTTTGTCAAGGATGCTGTGTGTAAACCAGGACACCCCCCAGGAAATAGGCTGCTCTGAACTGCATTCTGAGGCCCAGACAGAATCCCCTTTGGCCATGTCTCCAAGGTGGAGTGGAGCTGGGAAGGGCCAGCTTGGATTAAGGAACATTGGGATCCTCTGTCTCTCAATCACTAGGAGACATGCCTGGACCAACACCAGCCCAGCACTTTGACAATGTGTTGGAAACCATCTGGCTCATTGGTTGTAATTCCCACCCCCTACCACCACCATAACAGTGAGGATATTCTTACTTTTGAAATCAGTGCTGTTTATGACATAAGAAAATGGACATTTTTTTCCTCCATTGATGATAAAGGTATAGCTTTTGTCCCAATTATGACCTATACTCAGAAGTTCTACTTTATAATTGTCTCAGGTATTTTAATTTCCCACCAACAATTCTACAAAGTACAGGATAATGACAGTTTCTAGTAGCAAGTTAACTGCTATTAGATGGAGCAAATTACCCTCTCCCAAAGGAGACATGCAGCCCATCCTCCCCGCAGGTCCCCTCCCCCATGCTGGGCACCTCTCAGGAGCGACACTTAAAGTCCAGCGTGGGTTACACAGCAGCTGCCTGATGACATGTTAGCACCGCAATGCTACGGGAACTTCTACATGACTGCAAGGAATTCACCCCACAGGAATCCCCTTCCAAAATAATGCAATGCTTTATGCGGAGCATCCTCAGTGCTGTGCTGGCAGCGAGCCACCAGCCTAGTCTCTGGCTTGGGGAAGTCCCCAGACAAACTTCTCACAGCCATCACCAGCAGCCCTGAGGGTAATCCAGCCCCAGAATCGACTGTGGACCACAGTGGACTACTCTAATTGGTCCCTGCCTGGCCCACCGTGCCACAGTCAGCAGACTCGCCCATGGTATTTCTACAGGATTTCCCAAGAATTACCATTGGCTTCATCCTTCTCCTTGGCCCAACTCTGTCTGTACGGTGGAGACTTTGGCCAGAGCTGGGGTTGAGTGGAACGTGCGAGGGCCTGGGCCTTGGTTTTAGAGGTTGCTTCTGCCATTTATCCAGGGTGGGATCTTGAGCAGGTTGCTTACCCTCTTCTGGGGCTTCATTTTCTCTTATGAAATGAATCACGGAGATATTCCAGGGATTCAAATGCTCAGGCATGAGGAAGTATACTGAAATGTGGTGACCTAGGCCTGTGATGATCCTTATGACAGAAGGCCTATTTTTTCTTTCTTTGTTAGCATTTGGGCTCTTAAAACTCCTTTTAGATGGAGCAAACAACTTCTGATTCCCAAACTCCCAAGTGACAGCAGTGTGGCCTAATTGTTAAAATGCCAGCTTTGAAATCAGTGACACCAGAGTTCGAATCCTAACTCATCTACTTATCACAATGTTTTGTGTGTGTGTGTGTGGTTTTTATACCTTTTTGGTGCCTCAGTTTCCTCATCTGTAAAGGCTGAGAATCACGGCTGCCTTTCAGGGTGGTGGCGATGATTCACTGAGGTTACACGCGCTGCAATTAGCACAGGCCACGATGCAGAGGAATCGCCCGGCAGAGGGCAGGGCTGCTGTCATGTACGTGTGTGGTGTTCACTGCCATTATTAATTACGGGGGCTGGTGTTTACTGCGATGGGAATTGACTCAGGCTTTTTCCAGCTGGTGGGAGGATGGACAGGCCTCATTTTCTTAGCTCATTGGCACACATGACAGGGTGTAAAATTCACAAGTCACTGCAGTGCCAGGCACCCCAAGAAGCTGTGTGGGGTCATTAAGAGGTGACACAGGAACTTCTGCTCCTGGGCTTCTTAGCTGAGAGCTAGGAGAACAACAGCCAGTATCTTTTGAGCCTCTTTTGAACAACCACGAGCGAGGTACTCTTCTAAACCCTGCAAGATAGATTCCTAACCAGCCCATTTCTCAGAGATGCAAGCCAAACCTCAGCCAGCCTAGCCACGTGCCGGGGTTCACATACCTCACCTGTGGCAGGGCCAGAATCAGATGGGGGCCAAGCTGTACCCACCTCGCTCTGCTCAGCAGCAGGCTCTGACAGGTTCCAGGAAATGCTTGGAATTCTGTGCCCCATCCCAGAGAGTCTCTTTGGAATGTCACAGAAGTGCTGCCCAAGATAAGGTCTCCTTACCAATGTCCAGAGTCAACTTTCAAACCCCAGCTGAGGGGCTGTGGTGGGGTCACTGGGCCAGGGCAGACCAGCTGGCCTGCCGGTGAGAACCTTTGCCATGGCAACCGCCCTGACAGCCAGATGGCAGGAAGCTCAGGGTTCTCCAGGGATCACTTTCAAAGGCTGTAGTTTACATGTCGGGGCCAAACGCAATTGCTCTGGGGCAGCCTCCCGGCCAGGGTTCCCACCTTTCATTTCTCCAGGCAGCTCTCCGGATCCCAGACCCCCGTGGCCATCGAGGAGGTCACAAAACCAGCCTCCCCTGCCTTCTCCACACTTAGCCAGCTTTAACTAGATGTTACAGAAAGAGAGACTTCCAGATTATTACCCTTTTTGAAGTGATTTTGTTACTGTTTTAAATAACTCCATTTTGTGGCTACCTGTATCCTGTTGGGCTGATTATAGTTAAAGAACATGATAATTGCCTGCTTTCATTTGGCTCTAAAATA